CTGTACTGCCCCCTGTACCAGCGTCAGCAATAACACCTGCAGTGCATGTTCAGGCTTGCTGGCGGTCCGCGGAGACCTGCTAGGCACCCATAAGCATTACTATAACTCAGCTGTATCTGTGCAGACTCTTTCTTCCTCAGTATTTATTGACAGCTGCAGCTAAGTTCATGTCGGAACATGCAACATAATGAAGTAAGATGCAAATGTTGCTTTGATCAGTGGTGAGAACTGTGTGCGTATTCCTATCAGGTCTGCAGATTCTGTACACGATGCTGCAGAATGTGGCCCAGGAGGAAGCTGCTGCTCAGAGCTTCTACCAGACATATTTCTGTGATATCCTGCAGCACATCTTCTCTGTGGTCACCGACACGTCACACACTGCCGGTGAGCTCATCCAACATTTTAAGGAACACGACAAAAAAGCAAGCAAGCACAAAGGATCAAAGGGGGACGGTTGATATTAAAATAAACTGTCCTGTGTCTGTGTGTGCATGCAGGGCTGACTATGCATGCATCCATCCTGGCCTACATGTTCAACCTGGTAGAGGAAGGAAAGATCACTGCAGCTCTGAACCCTGGAAATCCCAGCAACAACCAGGTGTTCATCCAGGAGTATGTGGCCAACCTGCTGAAGACTGCTTTCCCCCACCTACAGGAGTGAGTCTAAACACCACACGCTCTGATTCAGTGACCCCACAATCATTCTCCCATGTTTATGGATGTTTGTGGTTCTGCCTGTCTCAGTGCCCAGGTGAAGGTGTTTGTGACAGGGCTGTTCAGTTTAAACCAGGACATTCCTGCATTTAAGGAGCACCTGAGGGACTTCCTCGTGCAGATAAAGGTGAGCCTCCTTTGCATACACCAGCTTTATTTCTCTCTCATAGAAACGGCTAAAATCAGTGCTATTTCCGAGGTGTCTAAATGTTTGCTGTTGATAAATGCGAACTAACCCCAGCCCTGCTGCATACTGCTGTGGAGGCAGAGGTGTTGTTCCCTCTCACAGAGGTTATCAGAGACAACATAGCTTCCTGCTTAGCTGCTGTTTCCACAAATAACCAGGTTGCTCTTGGACGTTTATGGAAGGGCATCTCTTTACCTCTGCTAGTTTATTGTTAGAATGGAACCATGAATCAAATTGCCAGAATTTAAATTTGTCCACAGACTAAAATATGTTTGATTGTTATCTTTTAATATAATAATAAGTATTGTGGCTGAACCGGGATGGGCTCATTTCTGTTGAAAAACTTTAGCATCTAAAATATTGTACAGCCTTCTGCGGTCAGCGCTCTGTATTTGAATGATTTCCTTTTGGATTATATTGCTTTTTCAACTCACTTTATGGAACCGATAATTAAACAGATTCAAAGTCAATACTTTGCTCTCCATTTTTGGCTTTATTAAAACAAAGCAGTCCAGTTCAGTTGCATATTTCTGGTAAAGATTGAAGTTTTCGAGCTGAGGGAACCCAGCAAATTACATAAGGTCACTGAATGCAGCAATCTCTCCTCCTCATCATAGAAAAAAGTGAAAACATTAAGCCATGAACTTTGCAGCAATCCCCCATATATTAAACGATTTAGGTGGTGCAGACATCCTGACCAGTCTATTTCCGGTCAGAGCCGATTCTCTATTGTAAGAAACTGTATGGCATTCAGATTCTGTCATATTTTTTTTTTTTTAAACACTGAAAAAAATTACAACATGAGGGAAGATGTTCATTTCTGGGTTTGACCTGCCAACAAAGGAAAATCTGGTTTTGGGTGCTTCCGTAATTGGTCAGATCAGCCACCATAAAACATGGTCAAACTATTTTTAAAACAAAAACTTCATTGTAAACTATTCATAGTCTGATAGAGATAAACATCAGCTACTTTGTTTATTTCCTCGTGGAGTTGATCTTCGTTTTATCTACTAAAAGCTCAAAAGGATCAAACAGAAAACCTCAATCAATCATCTGCTGCTGAAAATCCCTTTTGGTTTTGAGTCGTGGCAGCTTGACACGCCTCTGTGAAAATACGCCTCCTCAGGCTGTGATACTTCACACATTACAGTATTATATGAGTATTGTAGGAAAACTTAAAATCAAGGTTTGGAAGTTTTTGGGATTCTCTTAGTAATTCTCTGTTGGCTTGGCAACGGTAACTTAAAACCTTAAAAATGGAAAAAAAAAACCTGTAGCGAAAATGTTTTTGCTCACCAGAGCTCACTTTCTGACATGTTCAGCTCTTCTGACCCATCTTCCTGTCCCTGTCGTTTTCATTCTGGGTTAGTGGGCAGATGGTTCAACGTCCTGCTAGGCTAACCATCAGCTTATGTATTGGACAACGGTGAGTTCAGTGGAAAGCTAACTGCCATGTTTCCTTGTGCTGTTCTTCAGGAGTTTGCAGGGGAGGACACGTCAGATCTGTTCCTGGAGGAGAGAGAAGCATCCCTCCGTCAGGCTCAGGAGGAGAAACATAAGATCCAGATGTCTGTGCCAGGCATCTTGAACCCTCATGAAATCCCAGAGGAGATGTGTGACTGAGCCTCCGCTCCAGCAAACATGTACAGTATCCCAAAAACAAACCAACCCCTAATCACAACAAAACCTAAGAGAAGCACTTGGTGGAGTATGGTGGGAGGTAGCTCCGCCCACCCTCTGCAGAGCGGGCTGTCCCTTTGGATGTTTGTTGACCAAAATAATGCCAATATCGTCATGTAAATGATTAGCGTGTCACTCTGTGGCCCTTTTTACATACTGTGCGTTTTGTATGGAGACTTTTTTGTGTATTTCCTTTCCAGCGGTAATGTTTCGGTGGTCTTTGGTCCATCCCAGACCTGCATGATAAACAAAGTTTAACCATCTTGATTTCTGTTCACATACTTATGTTTCCCAGTTCTTCCCTTTCTGAAATGTGTTTATATGTAAATATCTTCTATAAACAGTCTGAGCGAAGTGTTTGTCAGGTCAACAGAGGCTTCATTCGATTGGGGGGGTGTTTGTGCCACAAACGCTCCTATTCTGTTAGTGTCCCATGATTCTGTGGGGGAATGTGAATCTACCGGAAAACGAATGAAGGCTGAGAGATGCTGCTTTATGCTTCTGCATCTGTTGCTCACAAGTTAACAGTTCATCTGAAAACTAACCTGCTGTCAGCAGGAGGGTTTTTTTTTTTTTTTTTTTTAGGGAAAACACAACCGGATATGTGCATATCATCCCGATTGTATAGCATCCTGATACTATGGGAACACTTTTTGTTATTCTTATATTCTGTCGTTTGTTTTGTCCTGGATGTGTGCGTGTGAGTGCTGTCGCTCAGTCGACATCAGCGTTTTGTTTTCCTCTAAGAGGATTGTTGCTCATGTGCGAGCCTTCATCACTGGGATGTTTTCCGGACGAGGCGGGCGTATTTATGGGTATCTGGTTGGTTGCATCTTTATAATGACTCCTGTTGAACTCGGATGGATTTCACCATTTTGAACTCTACTAATTTAGGTTGTTTACCATTTAGTTATGTGTCAGGACACTACCTGATAGAGCAAATTTAAGAAAATAAATATGGGTTTACATTTAATTTTGTATTTTTTTTTTTTTTGCATTTCATTTGTATCTGTTTTAAGTTCTGTTTAAATAAACAAATAGGCTTTTTGTCCTGGTAGAACCTTATTTGCCAACGAGTTTAATTAAGAAAGAATGTATAAATCCGATTAAATACCCAATCTCTAATGGCTAATTTCCCTTCTCAAGGTGTTACTTTGTTGTGAACTTTTTGAACTGATTAAAGTTGAGAATTTTATAACCACGCCTTGGACCAGGTGTCTTTTTCCTTGTTCCTCTGTTTTTTTTATCTACTTACTGTCTATCCATTCATCATCCGTCTATCTGTCCTTTTCCTCCTTCATCCCTATGCTTGTCCCATAATTTATTTATTTTTTGTTCATCCTCTGTCCTGACAATCAATATCCAACAACCATCTATCTTCCAGTTATCATCTATCACAGGGTTTATACAGGAATGATTAACTCTTAGAAATAATTTTAATGCCATCAACAAATACCCATGACTCTCATATATATACATGGCAAATTCCTTCATCTTTTCCGTCGGCACGCTGCAATTCCTCAATTTCCAGCCACTTTTGTTATAATTAGCACTTTCCCCATTCTCTATAGCCTTTTCTCTGCAGCAAGCTTCTTTTCCAAACATACGGCTTTACGATCAACCGGAAGCAGTTCCACGCAAATATATTGCGATATATTTGCAAATATATATATTGTTTTTTATAAACTTATTTTTTTTTAATAAGGCATTTTAAATGCCAAAATCATTGCATTTAATGAATTTTAATGCCAAATCAGGCTTTAATTTCATAAATAATTATTTAATGACTTTTAATGATTTTTAATGACCCGCGGAAACCCTGTATCAGCCATCTGTTTTACCTTCCATCTGTTGTGGCTTTGGCCCATCCAAACTTTCTTCACATATTAGTTAATCCAATATTCATCTGTTATTCCATTATTTATTTTTGGACCCAAATTGCACATTAAGTTGTGGATAAGTTAGGAATTCTGACAAGAAATGAGAGTAGAAACCCTGACTCCATAAAGGTTCGTAAAGTGAGCTAAAGGACCTCAGCCTCTCACAGTGATGCAAAAATAAGCATGGGATGATGGATGTCCCCCTTCGTACGCACACCGCGACATCCGACCATTTCCGCTTGGTCTCATTTGGCCCAGGTTGCTGCTGTGTAAACTAATCCTGCCTCTAATCCCTGTTAACATACTGGTATTACATCAAAGCCTATGGTGACACTCCATGCCTGAAAGGCAAAACTTTCATCTTGACTCTGAACCCTGTCAACCTTTCATCTGTGATGCAACTAGACACAGCTGCTGGACGATGGGGTGGGAAGAAAAATTATCTTCTAATTCTGTCTGCTCACAAAGAAATAAACAGTCTCTTATTTTTGTTGTTAGTTTTATTTACACTTCAAGAGGAGGTGTCCATTTAAACCTCTCAGTGTGCAGCAACAGGTGGGAACAGGGCAGGGCTAATTTACTCTGTTACAAGCTCCCCAAATCTCCGTCTCTTCCACATTTTTAAGTTATTTAAATCCTCTAAACATTTCCAGACCTTAATACCAGTACCCTACGTGCCAAATTAAGACAAATGTTGATAGACAAGGTAACGGAGGCCTCTTAAATTGGCCTCAGCACATCAAAATCAGTGTTGGCGGACTCCAGTCCTTAAAAATGGTGCCTATTTTAGATGTCCTGTTGGTTCAAAACACCAGAATCAAATTGTTAAATTATATGGTCTCTGTAAGGAGGTCATGAAGCCACTAATTTAGCAGCCTCAGAACAGGGACACGTTTTTAACAGGCAGGAAGTGAATACTGCTGCTCTTAATGGTTAAGAGAAGCATAGCTGTCCACTAAAACCAAAATTTTAGAATTTTATGTCTTTTTTTATGAAGACATAAAAAGTAAGTCTAGTGTGTTTTTAATAATTAAAAAAAATATATAAAACAGGACATTAAACCTCTCTTGACCAGAACCATGATTAGACCCTTAAACCTGCTGGTTTGTTTTAAGGATTTTATTTTGGTTCTCCTCTTGCTCATGTTTCCGGTTGACGTGCTTACATCTGGGCCTCTCTGTGGGACCCTAATTCAGACCTCCTGTAACCGGACCTCCTGACCCACATCCACAGATCCCCAGCCATTCTCGGCATCCGCTGTCGAGGTTGAAGAAGAGACAGCTGGGACGGCCTCCACCCACCCCCCCTCTGTGGGTTGGGGAGTAAAACCCTGCCCACTCTGCCTGTTCATGTCCCCTTATGCCCTGGTGTGTAGCAGAGATATTAATACCCCTGTGAGCAATCCTGATAGAAAGAGCTGGGTATGAACACCCGCCAACAGAAACTCCTGGCCTGAACCTCCACCCAGTTTAGCAAACCAGCTTTGACCCAAACAAAAACCCGTTTCCAGCGGATCGGACCTGTCTTAAAAGCATCCCCACTAAGAGGTGAAACCTTTGGCCGAATGGTTGGCAGCACCTGGACCAGTGTTTGGACTGAGGGGACGTGTTCTGTCTGGGCAAAACTAGGACAAAGTTGATCACTCGCAACCCAGTAACCCCTGCCAGGGTTATACTGCCACCTATAGGACAAAAGGAAACTTTCTGAATGTGGCTCATTTGTATTGTTTTATGCTTGTGTTTTTAATTCAGAACAGTTAGTGTATAAGCATTTACATCTTGACCAGAACTGGGAGAAAATACAAATAAAGAATCTGTCTCATCACATCCGATGTCCGTTAAAAGAATAAAGCTTCAGCAGAACTGATCACAAGCAGGAACTGTTCAGTCCCAAAAAAAAATCACAATTGAGGTCCAGCAGCAGTTTTTCTGATGTTTACGAGGTCCTGGAACATGCAAGAAGAACCGAGCGGAACCCAGGGGTTTGGCCTTGTTTGTGGAGAAACGGCCACAGCTGCACAAACATGCAGCCAGCTGAGCAACAGAGAGGACAGTTGATGGAGCTCCACATCTACACAGACTGGAGGGAGGAGGGAGTCCAAACCAGGCTGGGAGAATAAGCGTCTATCCTTCCTCTATCACGGCTCCTCATCTATCCAACAGCTCGGAGCTTCTTTACCGCTTCAGAACCTCTACGTATTTCGGATCTGGGCGTAACGCATCTTGGACCTGTAAAGCCACACAGATGTTCAGATATAAAATATTACAAACAACCTCTGGAAGAATATAAACACAGCTAGAGAAATATGCTTACATTAATTAATTCCTTCTTTACCTATTAAATTATTTTTTGTTAGTGTGCTTTTTAAAATAACTGAAGACAAGACAACAAACAACCACAATATTTTTACAAGCAAAGATTTAGAGAGAAAATCTGAACTCAAAGGATTTTCATGATTCAATGCAGATAGGAAATCATCCATGACGGTTCAAATTAGCTCTACATAAGTACAAGTTATTTAAATGCACCTTCAAGGTTTTACCATAAATATCCAGCGACCCCAAACTGAGGGGGAGAAACATTTTCGATGATGAGACACAGATTATGGAGCAATTGGAGGATTAAGAGCGAGGCTTTCAAACCCAAAGACACCTGATTAATTGTCAAGCACGGTGAGGGCAGCACCATGCTTGGTGTGCTGCCAGTACTAAAGACCTCAGGTTGTTTTTTTCCCAATATGCACCTGCACCACTGACAGCTATAGAGCCCGCAGCATGGTGCACCCACTGCCAAGCTTGACATTTACAGCATTTCAAGTCTAATTTTTATGGTAATTTTTTTACCCTGAATAATTAGACAAAATGTAGTACTTCAAACTCATGCGACCAGTTTTTGTTCTTAAAAATATTGGTTTGCCGTGTAGTTTCCTAATTTAGAGGGGGAAAAAAGCCAAAAATGAAAGTTTGGGATGACAATGATGTCGAAATAAAGTTGCGGTTCTTATAAAACGTACCTGGGAGCTTTCTCTGGCGTGGGCCTAGTCTGAGTGCCGCCTTTAAACTGCGCTTCCAGCTTGGCGTAGATCCCTCCTGAAGGCTGAACCAGCAGAAACAGATGCAGAAAAGTTGAAAAACTACCACATAGCAAAAAAAAAAAAAAGAATCTCAGTAAAAGGCACCTCTTTGGTATCCTTGGCTTTACTCTGTTCCTGGTCTCCAAACCTCATCTTGGTCAGGTGGCCGATGATCTCCGCCATGCGCCGTTGGTCTGCCCACACAGAAGAATAAACCCAAAAACTTAGCTGTAGGGGGTCAGTGGGTGCTTCGTTTTTCGATGCATCTAAGAAAACTAAAGGAATCAAGGAGTATCGGTGAGTCTCTAATGAGTCCTTTACCTTCTTCTCTCTGAGCATCCTGATTGTAGCGCAGGGAGCGAGTGCTGTCCCACTTATTCTTCTGGAGGCTAACTCTACAACAACACACCCAAACAGATTAGTATAGAAAGTTGAAGATGTCCTTAAGTGTTGTACATGGTTTAGTTTTGATTGGCGGCTTACGTGAAAGGTGTCATGTCTCTGGTCTGCGACTGAGGAAAAGAAGAAAAAATTCAGTTTTTTTGTTACTGTTTGGCAGGCGAGCTCAAAATATTTGCAAAAGTAAAGTCTTGGTTGGAAATGATTCACCAGAACTTCTATGTTCTGAGGCCTCGCTACACTGATGAGAAGTTTACATCCATCAAACCGATGACTTACTTTCTCAGATTTCTCCTTGCGTTGAAAGTTTGAAGAGGACAGCTGTTTCTTCAGGGGTCTGTGCGCTTTTTTGGCCTTCTTTGCAGCTGGGAACAGAAAAACAAAACATGAGAGGTATATACAGACTAGGACCCGTTCAGGGTGTAGGCCGCCTCTCGCCCAGAGACTGCCGGAAATAGGCATCGGCTCCACCGCGACCCTGACAAGCACTAAGCAGGAGAAGATGGATAGATGAATGGATGGATGGATAGAGGATAGTATAAACAGATGCATCAGGCGCCATCTGCAGGCTAAAAGGAGAACTGGCCCTGAATAAAATCCAGAAGGATTAAAAAAAAACAAGGGAGACAAGGGGTGGCTGTACTGTTTATCATCAGTATATGATCCAATTTAAAGGTTATAAATAAAGTTTTAAAGTGTTAATGACACAATACTGATTTCTTTTAATTATGCATTAAAATATTGCAACAGGACATACCAAGTAGTTCTGAGTTATTATGATTTAAAAAGGCTTATTTTTAACACAATTACCCTATATTTAGTAGCTCCACAGCAGCACTGTGATTAATAGCTAACGATAACCCATATCCGTGTGGTGACGTCAGATGGAAAACCCTTTTAGAGCTAGCGCAATATGCTACAATGGAGATGGATGGAAACATGGATGATTGTTCCTGAACATCTAGTCCAGAAATGGTTGGTGTGGTTGAACCATCAGCCAGTTAAAGCTCAGGTAGTGATGCTGTAGATCATGGCTGCATCACATCTTCCAGGTCAGAACCATCCAGAACGGACTTCTAGCCTGCAGAGTCAGACTCTGAGCTGGAGGGTTACGGCTGATATAACCGCAGCAGCCCTGGTAGAAAGCACATAGCTTGCTATGCCTCTGGTCCAGATAGTATAACCAGTTATTAGTTTATAAAATACAAATTAGTATATAATACTTAGCTTTAAAAACAGCATAAATTTCTCTGAACCTTCTGTTAAAACCACAAACCGATAAAACAACTGACACAGAACGCAGAGCCACATTATTAACACAAAGTTAGGCTCTGACTCCAGTATTACAGAAGCTAATGACAGTTAGCTTTGGATTATCATCTGGGACTGCAGCAATCTACGATCTAAGCTCCACATCAGCCTCCAGTTCTTTTCTGTATATTCTTTTGCAGAAAATAATGATCTCAGCTTGGATGTGGAGCTGGAAGTGCTTGGAGTGACATTGGCAGGTTCTTAATAACAATCTGACCTTGTCTGACTCAAACACTGGGTAATGTTCTCCAACATTTTGATCTACAAAAAATACTAGAAAATGTGCGTCATCAACGCTTTAAGTAGGAGTTATACATTATCTGAGTCAACTTTAAAAAAACCAACAGATCTCTGTTCCAGCTATCCTCAGGTTTCTTCAGATTATTGCTGCCATGTTCCTTCATCGAAGCAAAAGTTTCTACTTTAAAATGTCCAAATAAGCCGTTTTACACCTTACTGTTTAATCACAGATGACAGGTAAGGTGGAAACGTCGTTATAACCATCCTCATGTTTATGTGCAGCAGATGCTTTTCTAAGGTTACTGATGACGTCTTTTCATTGTGGCCTTTGTGATGATGAGCAGTTAACCGAGACGTGCAAGTAGCAACACTTAGCTACTACTTTCTGTGATGAAATCTATAAAAACTCCAATAATATGCTATGTAGAAAAGTACTTGATGAACTGCGTTTTAATAACTGCTTGTGAAATTCAAAGTTTAATTATTGAGGTTTAAAAAAACAAACATCACCTTAAGCCCTTTCTTCCACCTAAATGTGTCTGTAGTGTCTATTTTTAGCACAACTTGACCTTTTAATGACTGTCACTAAACTACAGAGCTGATTTTATATGGTGTTACCATCTGAGTGAATTTTTAACAGTTTTTCCAAATCTGCAGACAGAAGCTTGAAGCTTGAGCAGCACTTTGAGGGGTTGAACAATTATTAACTCCATCTTGTCCCTGAACATCTGCTGTTAGATTAAAAGTACATAGTCACGTTATTTGTCTAAAACAAAAAAGAACAAAATCCAGTAGATTATGAATAAATAAGGCAACATACATCAAGCGTCCGTCCTGATAGCGTTTTGAACTTCCTTTTTGAGCCTAAATAGAACCCAAGAACCACATAAACAGATGTGGTGCCCTCTGCTGGCAGTACTGCTGAACTTCCAGGAAGCCAGATGGCCAATGCAGCTACTAAATAACTCCCAACCAGCTGACTGTGCTGTAATACCTGGTAGAAAAACCAAGAGCTGGGAGGATAGGGTTTATATAAAAGCATTGCTAACACCATTAGCGCTATTAGCAAAGACACAGCGACATCAGCATGCTTCCTGAGCTTTAGTTCCAGTTTTAGTTTCCTCCAACGCTCAAAATGTTTCCCCACTTTTATCTCTTTTTGAATAAAACTTCTTCTTGCACCTTTTCACCCTTAATCTTGGACTTTTTTTTCCCCAAAATATGCTCAGACTTCAACACTTGCTCAGACGCCTCCACTGCTTCAACTTATTGACCAATTGCATGCATTTAAAACAAAAAAAATAACAAATACTACAGCAGACGGACTTCGTAATTTGCTATAAAGAAAAGTTGTTTGCAATCAGTGAGTGAGTTATTTGTGGATATATTTAAATTTAAAAAATGGTAAATAAAGTGACTGTATCTACAGGACTCTCACCTTGTTTCTTTGACAGCTCTTCTTCATCCCCAACCTCGTCTTCTGTGACCTCTGACCCTGTGGTGTACTCTTCCTCCTCCGACAGCAGGGACTGCTGCTTCTGGAAGAGCAACAAACCCAGTTTTAGTTTTCTGATGCAACATCTGTCATCAGAGAGACCAACGAGTTGCCCTACCAGCTGAAGAGTCCAGTTCTTGAAAAGGGAAAACTGGATTTTGAAAAAATGAAGAGAAGAGAGTAAAAAACATTAGACAAAAAAGGAGAGGCATCCAATGACGACTGGGAGAGACCTACAGGGCTGCCATCTCCTCTCAGGGAACCTAGGAGCGTTAGTTCCATGAGATCGTTGCAGTCTTGGGCTTTCTCTGCGCTGGTTGGACTATCGTCAGAGCTGGAAACAAGTGAGGTTGGTTTTTATAACTCATAAGAAATCTGTCAGAAGTCTCCAAGGTACCGGCCATGGTACTGACCCGTCTGAAGGCGATGTGTTAGACAAACACACAGCGTCTCTGTGCAGCAGCAGGTCATTTAGGACTCTGGTCTGAGCAGCAGTTGCCTCATCACACTTCTCCTCATCTGGTAAATTCACGATGTGATCCCGCATCTTACAACCCTGGATACAAACAGACATTCAATAAGCCACAGGCAGATAAGCCTCAGACGTTTCTTTAATATGATTCAGCTATAGCGGCTTCTGTGATGTATACCTTCATTTTAAAAGTTGATCCAGTTTAAAAACTTCATGCCTCACAAACTGATAAGGAATGTAGAGAAGGTGGAGGGAAATCTCTTCTATTGGCCGAAATAAATTACATTTTTAACACATCTTTACCAGAGCTGCAAACCAGTTAGTTAGGTCTGGTCATTGGTTGACGTTCCCTTAGAACAATCAGAGCTGCAAACCAGTTAGTTAGGTCTGGTCATTGGTTGACGTTCCCTTAGAACAATCAGAGCTGCAAACCAGTTAGAAAGAAGGTGTATTCATTCATTATTATCTAACAATAATCAGAAAGCAGAGAGCATTTTTTGTGTGTAGATTGTGCCTCAGGAATAATTCAAAGGCTGCAGGCTCTCCTTCAATCTAATTTCCACTCAGACTTTTGCTTTGCATCTTTGCGATGTGCTGCCAGGCCGCCTGGATCAGTAGGTAGAGAACTAATGAGCTTCCAATAAGGCCTGGAAGCATGTCTGTATTATTCCAGGATGATTCAGAGCTTAGCTATTGGATCTTTAGAAACTCTCAAGGAGAAACCGGCTCCGCCTGATTCTGACAACACTGTATCAGTGAACAGCCTTTATATGAAGAATGTAGTCGAACATCTATTAACTGTGTAACTCCTAGGTGCAAATTGACTTCTGTTAAATGTCTGATCAGGTTTTGTGATCACTCAGAAAAGCATTCTGAGCATTAAACCCGTTTAGAACAAATCTGAAACAACAGAATTTGGCTGAATGCAGATACACTCCAAAAACCCGGAATGCAAACAACCAAATCCCAGGATACTTTAGCGAAACCTTTAGGAGTCTACACTCTCTGGCTAACTTAATTGTTTGTTTTTCATATTCGATTTTTTTTTTTTTTTTTATCTCTAGTTTTATTGTTGCCCTACGATGGACTGGCAACCTATACAGGGTGAACCCCGCCTCTCGCCCGTAGACAGCTGGCACCAGCACCCCCACTTGGGATAAGCTTGACAGAAAATGGATGGATGGTTTTATTGTCTGCTGTTTTCAACAGAGAAGCATACAACTTCCTCAGCACTAAACTAAGCTTGGAGAAGCATACTTTATGTTACCTAAAATCAAAACCACTAGAAAATGTCACCTATACCAATAAAGAAGGTTGAAGCTAAGAAGGAATATGAAATATAGCCCCCCAGAGGAAGATTTTAGAATAGTTTCCTGGAAGAAGCCAGCTTCTGGTTTGGAAGTGTTAGCTAATATGGATACCTTTGGTATTTCAATGGGGTCAAAGCGCAGAACCCTCTGGTTGCAGCAGGGGTATATTCCAGCATCCTGCCAGCCTTTCTCTCTACCCATGCCAGGGTACAGCACACCATCTGGGTGGTATTTGCAGCAGGTCAGCTCTGCACAAACAAACACCTGTAAAAACACACAGCAGCTGTTTCAAATAGACATTTCATCATGGTAAATTAGCAGAATCTCTCCTCCTTAACTGTCCTGGCTCTGACCTGCTGACATCGTGAGCAGGTGAGGTAGTTGATGGTACCCCAGATTCTCCAGTAAACCAGGACCCAGGACTTGAGCTCTTCATATAAAGCTGTGATGTATTCATGCACATCCCAGCTCTTCTGTCTGTAAACACAAAGGGGAGATTATTACTCACTAAAAAGAGCAAGCCCACCTTTGCTGCTCCAACAGGATTTTAAAGGGAAAGTAACAGCTGGTTGCTTCTAATTAAAAGTACTTGATTAATTAACCATCAGAAGAAAGCGAAACAGCTTCTCAGCAGCTAGTACTTGAGGGCAGCACGGTAGTGGAGGGTTAATGATTTGGGCTTCCTCTTTCATTCACAGGAATGGGGTATCCTGGAGTCACAGAGTCAACCTCAAACTTCTCTGTATAGCATAGTCTTTTATTCAAAGGAATCAATCCATCCAGTAAAGCTTAAGCCATAAAACAGGACGATAATCCAAACACAGGAGCAAATCTATAAGGTGTTGCAATGGCCTAGTCAAAGTACAGACCTCAATCTGACTGTCAGAGCTGTATCAACATTAATGTTAGCAGGCACAAAGAACAACTGCGCACAATAACCTACAACTACCCCGAAATCAACACTGTATTCATGAAACAAGCATTATTTTAAGAATTTGATGCACATTTGTTAAAATCCTGCTTCTGTCTAAAATAGATTGTTTGTCGCCCCCCTGTGGTTAAAAAGGGTTAATGCATCTGATCTTTGCTTCAGCGGATCTACACTGGGCAGCAGGGTTACCTGAGGGACTGTCAATGAATTCCACAGAGGTGTCAAGTAACAAAGTACAAATACTTCGTCAATGTACTTAATTACACTTTTTAGGTATCTATACTTTACTCCATTACTTATTTTTCTTCCTTCTTCTGACCTCTACTCAAGACATTTTCACACAAGTATCTGTACTTTCTATTCCTTACATTTTTAAAACAAACATTACTCGTTACTCTTGGCTTCAGTTTAATGTTTATAAATATTTATTTTACATCATGTGCACCATTCAATGCAGATCACTGGCGCCATCTGCATCTAGTGAAAACTAGTATAGTTGGATGAGTCATATAATGTAAACACTCATTGGTTAGCTAAAGGAAATCATCAGAAGCAAACAGCTGTTCTTCAAATTGCAAACATGAATTGTCTGTACCATGCTACAATGTCTGATTCAGAAAAAGATGTAGAAATGTCTGAAAGGTCAGACACAGGCGAGAGGGTATCATCCTTGGCCCTGTGTCAAAGTCTATGTCATATCACTTTACTTGGATTTTCACTTTATTTGGATTTAGTTTTTACATATGCATAGATATACGTACATAT